ACTTTTAATATTAAGGTTGTATTTAAAAATCTTGATACAGTAAAAAACACTTTTGATAAAGAATTCCCCCCAAAATGCTGACGGATGCGTCTATAAGATTCCTTGTAAAATTTGTGATAAAGTTTATTACGGTCAAACTGGTAAAAATCTCGAACTTAAATTAAAACAACATAAATATAGCAATAGAATTGGACAAGATTCCAATGCTCTATTTATTCATGTGAGGGATTTTTACCATCCAATTGATTTTCAAAATTTGAGAAAGTTGTATCAAGCAAGTCCATGGTTGACAGAAATATAATTGAATCTTGTTTCATAAAAAGCAGTTTTAAAAATAATATGAATATTTCCTTAGGTTTATATAAATTAGACTCATTTATAATTAATAAAATTTGGTTAGAGTTTAATAATACATTGGACAAATAATAAACCTTATTTCTTGGGTAGAATATTTTGTTAGTGGGATGTCGTGAGGACCTGTCTAGTTGGACCAGCGGACCTACTGCAGTGTTCCTCTTTTCTTATGAGTCCGGTATTGTCGCGCGTCAGGTGTTTCTTTGTTGTGGGGGTTGACTGTGAGGTGTAGTCTAAGCCCTTTAATTGCCTTCCTTTGATGTATTACTTTCATAGTTCCTTGACAATGTGAGTAGTCACGAAAGCGCTTGGAATTTCAATACTCTTTCACAGTGGTTGTTTTGCATATTTTAAAATCATCTGTTTACTGTGATCTTATGTAAAACTTGCGAACTTGGCTTAATCCTTAAATGGTCCAAACGTATATATACGTTTTTTCAACATCTGAAAGTATGTAAAAAAATTTAATTTTTTTTTTGTTTTACATGTGAAAACGTGTAAAAAAAACTTTTATCTACATTTTTTTTGTTATATTTGAAAATATGTAAAAAATGTAGATCTACTTTTGTAGCATTATGAATTTGAACGTCGATCTGTTTGGACCGTTTAAGGGTTAATTAAATAGCAACGCTCATCTTGCCATATAAGACAAGCGAAAATTTGTGTATGCAATAATTTCGCAAAAATCATTCTGAACCTAACGAAAAAAATATATTTCATTGTGTTTGTTTAGTAGTAAATTATTGTAAACGTATCTAAAATATATTTAGTTGGATTAGGCTAAAATAAATTGTGCTTGCTATAATAAGGTTAGATTATTTTTCTAAGATTCTTTGGGTGCAAAATTAAAAATTTTTGCATTAACATTAATGAAAAATTTCTTTAAATTGAAAATTTTTTAAACTTTTTGAGAATGTATAAATCTATAGTGAAGGGAAGGTGGGGTAGCGGTCGGCCTAAGAATGGTTAGAGGGAGAGGGTAAAGGAAGTTTTGCGTGCGAGAGGCATGGACTTCCAGTAAGCATGTGCGAGCGTGTTTGAAGCAAATAGAGACAAATCGTTTTTAGGACTTGACATGCTGTTGGAGTGTGAGCAAGATAAAATTTATGGAAGGGTTCAAGGAAACCGGCAGGCTGGATTTGAGTCCTAGAGATGTGAAGTACAGTATCTGCACTCTGAAGGAGGGGTGTTAATGTTGCAGTTTTATAGCTGTAGTGTGGGCATGCCTCTGGCAAGACAGTGATGAAGTGGCTGATGAAAGTTTTTCTTTTCGGGCCACCCTGCCTTGGTGGGAAACGGCCGATATATATATATATATTATATATATATATATATATATATATATATATATATATATATATATATATATATATATATATATATATATATATATATGCCTGTCTGGCTGTCCCACCCAGGAGGGAAAAGTCCCTAGCTACATTTGTTCTAAGGGCAATAAATGTATTCCCTACAGAGGACAACCTCATCGGTCTTCCCTCTAGGGCGACAAACACCTGATACCTCAAAAATCTGAGCCCAAATTAGCAAAAAAAAAATGAAGAGCGCAATACTACTAGGGCACTCAGGCTTATAACAAGGGAGGATTCCATCGCTCCTTAAGATGTCATTATAGCACAAGCACTGAACTACAAATATACACCTAGATCTCCCAGTACCAGCATTGACCTCCCTGACAGTGGAGCAGGTGAAGAATATTTAACCCTACAGCCGCTATGTCATTTCCACAGGGTTCAGCAGGGGGTTTTACTCGTTTTAAGGCCACGAAACTGTTCAGTCCAGCACTTGTTGATGTGTCAGAGAGGCTGTTGTCTGAATTCACCAAATTTTCCAATGTGTGCCTGGCTGACATTGTCCCAAAGGTCATTAGACTCTTTTTCTTTGGTGCCTCACTATATGCTCTCTGGAAAAAGGACAGAGGAATCAGACCCATTGCAGTGGGCAACACCCTTCAGCATCTTGTCGCCAGGGCTGCAGGAAGAATGAGTCAAGAGGCTGCCACAATGCTGAAACTAACACGGTTTTGGCGTTCAAGGTTGTGAAACAGCTGCCCATGCTGCACGAGTATACACCAATAACATATCAGATGAAAAGGTCCTGATCAAACTGGACTTTGCCATCTCATTCAAGTTAGTCAGAAGGAATGGTGATCTCCAAGCAGTTTCTGAACACTTCTCTTTTCTCTATCCCTTCATACAATCCTGTTATAGTGAGACTTCTATGCTATTGTTTGGGGACCATGAAATTGACTAGTGTGAAGGTGGGAAATAGGGAGTACCCTCTCACCCCTTTTCTGTCTGGTCATCAAGGAAGTCACAGAAGCACTCTCCAGTGAGCTCAGTATCTGGTTCTTGGACATTGGTACCCTGGCTGGCACTACAGAATCTCTCCTAGAGGACATCAAAAAAAATTAAAGACATTGGAGAGAACCTGGGCCTATCTTTAAACCCCACCAAATGCGAAACAGTTTCTGCTAATCGACAGATCATTGAGGATATTAGTTCTGTTTTGCGAGGAGCACGAACCGTTGATCCAGCTAACAGAAATCCTTGGTGCTTCTCTTGCATCCAGTGCCATTGTTCTTATCCTAGAAAAGAAAATCTCAGACCTCAGGATGACGGAAGGCAGGATGAAAGACGCTGATACACATGATGCCTTCTACGTACTCACCAAGTGCCTGTCCCTCCCAAAACTTACCTACTTCTTGAGATGCTCCCCAGTCTTCAGCAGTCCGAAACTCAAAGGAATATGACTCCCTCCTAAAGACCATGCTAGAGAGTGTGCTGAATCTATCCCTTGACGATAGACAGTGGTTGCAAGCCTCACTTCCAGTCAGTCTCTGGGGGCTGGGAGTATGCAAATCCTCCTAGACTGCCCTACCAACTTTCTTATCCTCCTCCATAGCATCAAACTAATTAATATAACAGATTCTTCCAGACAAACTTGGTGACTCAGCAGGAATACAGGATCCTAGTTACGCCATTGTCATTATAATATAATAATAATATTATATTTCTGCAAGTACATGTACAAGGTATACAGGCCTAGCTGACATCAATGACATACTATTATATAGAAAGCCGCTTGTTATGCAGAGAATTTCGGGCAAATTAGGTCAATTTTATCCTGGGATGTGACCCACACCAGTCGACTAACACCCAGGTACGAATTTAAACTGATTGGTGAACATGGACAACCAGTGTAAAGTAAGACGCCCAATGTGTCTAGCTTGCCAGGATCGAACCCGGCCTTTCAGTGTGTGAAGTGAGAGACTTGCCACCAGGCCACAGGCCACCATAATGAACCACCGAATGAGAGGCTCTTGCTGCTCCAGCACCAAAAACTAGTGCAGCACTGGCCTACAAACAGTCGAGTTGGGATGGACCCAGCTCTGAAAAGGAGTTTGCCAACATATTCAGGGCTGCTGCACCAGACAGGGAGACTGCTTTTCTCCAAGCTTTGAGCACACATCACTCTGGGGATTTCCTCCAAACAGTTACCATTTCGGCAATGGGAACACGCTTCGACTTAAAGACTGTCCACATAGCAGTGGCTCTCCACCTCGCTGCCCAAGTTCACACGGAACATAGGGAATATACAATATATGTGTATTTGCCGTGATGCACAAGCCTACCAATATGGTCTACACGGTCTTAACTGCTCCAAAACCAAAGGCTGATAAGCAAGACACAATGAAATCAACAACATCATAAACAGAAGCCTTGCTACAGCGGGATGCCCAGCCGAGAGAGAGCCCAGATCACTAGCAGCCAGCAATATTCGTAATCCCACAAACTACCCCGACAGGATCACCATCTATCCTTGGAAGAACATAAAGCTTTTAGCACTGGACTAAACCTTCGTGTCGACGCTGGCTGACACCTACATACATCACCGTGCTGGGCAACAGGGAGGTGCTGCGGATCACAGGGAGGAGTACAAGATGAGCAAGTAAGGAGACATAAGTATCAATTTGTCCCAGTGGGATCAGAGACCTTGGGATCGTGGGAAAAAAACGCCGCACGTTTCCTCAAAGAACTGGGTTACATACTCAGTGACCACCAGGGACCCAGGGGCGGCCACTTTCATGTTCCAGCGCCTCAGAGTGGCTATCCAGAGGAGAAATTCTTGTCTCGCATCCAGCTTCAGAGGAGCTGGTGGATTGTGTTTTTTAAACAAATGATCCCGTACCTAAAAAAATCATATACATGTATATATGGGGTTGTAAGAGAAGACGTGCTCATATGGATTCTAGGAAGGGTCTCTGGACTCTTCCTAGAAGACATTTCACTTACTTCTCCACGAACGAGTGGTAATAATCAATAACAACACTGCGACTAGCCAGGGACTCGAACCCACGTTGCTTTGGCCCGCCTCATGGTGAGCGAAAACCACACGATGCTTTAACCCACAGGACCACCAAAGCAACCACCAAAGCGTATGATTTGGAGGTCCTGTGGGTTAGAGCGTCGTGTGATTTTTGCTCACCCTGCCTCAGTTCACCCTGCCTCAGCTCACACTGCCTCAGCTCACCCTGTCTCAGCTCACCCTGCCTCAGCTCACCCTGCCCCAGCTCACCCTACCTCTCTGTGAGACGGCCGGTGTGTTAAAGAAAAAGAAAATATTACCTGGTGGAATGTAGTAGTTGTCTTCAAGAAATCTAAAGTAATATGTCACTTCAGAGTGTGAGTGTTTGATGCACTTATCTTGCAGCTTCAGTGCGAGGTCTGGATGGCGCTTCACAAGTTCTTTAAAATTCTCACACTTGTGCCCATTTAGTCCAGTAAATCCAGAGAGCCACCACGAGCTTTCAATAATGGCTTCAACAACAGCTCTGTAAATAAAATACTACATATTACTGTTTCGTACATTGTGTACACTGTAAATTACAAAATTTACAGTGAAATATCTGAGCGTCACTGCATATTAACCAGTTAAATTAACGTGATAAAGGACCGTTTATGATAGTAGTGTAAATATACTCACATCATTAGATCAAGGGAGCCAAGATGTGATATTAAAACTCTCCCTTATACCCAAGTTCACTTGACTTACGAAATCGTAATGACACGATTGCAAACAAACCATAACACGGACGGGAAAAGACTCTCTGATCGCGGGTTCTATCCCCGTCCGTGGTATGGTTTGTTTCCCAAGTTCACTTGCTAATACATTACATATTCATTTCTTATAGAAAAGAAAATGCAAATTCTATTATTGGAAAGAAATTTGAAGAAGCTTTGAGTCACAAATGTAAGTATGAGATCAAAATAATTTTATTTCAAAATTTATGTATGCCAAAAAGCATAATAAATATATACATATTCTAGTATTTTTTTCCAGCTTTTACATGATAAAAGAAAACAAGAGATAGACTTTACATAGAGGAAGACACTGACAATCACTGTACTCTTGGTGTACGTGGCACACACCAACTTAATTGATATTGTTCACACTATCTTACTTAAAATAAGCCCACATTATTTGTTTCCCATGCACATTGTGAAATATTCGGATACTGGCACTGGTAACTCACTATTAATTCTGTGTAACACAAGATATATGAAGATGTATAACATTAGAACCCAAGACAGTTATATAGCAACTCTAGGCATTTTGTACTGTTGTCAGTTTGTAACATATACAACTTGAAAACTGTAGTCAAAAATCAAGGAGTGAATTACTGAGCTATCATACTGTTGAAACAGACAGAAAGCAAAAAAAAAAAAAAAGCAGTAAAAGGGTGAGAATTCTTGGGCTAAATAGGATCATAACAGTACCATGAAACTAACAGTACCAGGATTATAACAGTAACATGAACCTAACAACATGAACCTAACAACCTAACAATACCAGGATCACAACAGTACCATGAACCTAACAGTACCAGGATCTTAACTATAACATGAACCTAACAGTACCAGGAACATAATAGTACCACGAACCTAACAGTACCAGGAACATAATAGTACCACGAACCTAACAGTACCAGGAACATAATAGTAACATGAACCTAACAGTACCAGAAACATAACAGTACCATGAAACACAAATAACCCGCACATAGAAGAGAGGAGCTTACGACGACGTTTCTGTCCGAGTCGGACCGAAACGTCGTCGTAAACTCCTCTCTTCTATGTACGGGTTATTTTTGTATCGTTCCAGTCACGGTATTGTGCCTTTTTTTGTTATTTAGTACCATGAACCTAACAGTACCAGGAAGTAGGGTGTAAGACGGCAGAGCGGCTCGCTTCTGCCAGAGGGAATTTTGGCTCTAGCTCCCGGTCACACTAAGGTGTGGTTTCTTGGGTTTTCCCAAAATTATATACAACAGAGTGACGCGAGGCAGAGTGATGTCTCTCTAGCTCCTGGCCCATAACCAACTTTAATCCATCTCCCCTACCCTCTCATCACCTTACACCAACTGAAAACACTTCTGGAGCAGAGGCAGGCATTGGCCTGCACTCCAGAAAAACAGGTATTAAGGCCAGCAAATAAAACCCCCATAAATTCCACCAATATGACGACATTTATCTTTGCAAACATACAGGTTCTAAAGCCATCAAGAAACAAAATTCATTACATCAAGGCACTGCTCACGGAGTCAAATGCAATATTTGCAGCTTTCACAGAGACCCACATAAAGGATCATTTTAACAACGAAATATGGATCTCAGGTTATAACCTATTAGGATGCGACAGACTAAACAGGCAACAAAGGGGAGGGGGTTGGTTTGTACGTCACAGAGTCGCTCATTTGCTCAGTACTACTAAACACCTCATATGATGTAGTTGAAGTTTTGGCAGTAAAGACTGAAAACCAAAACCTTGTCATTGTGGTTGCATACAAGCCTCCGGTGCAACTTCTCAGCAATTCCAAGAACAGATTTTGAAAATTGACCACTGTCTGGAAAATCTCTCAACTCCTGCCCCAACCATCTTGCTACTAGGAGATTTCCACCTGAGGCACCTAAAATAGAAGAGTGTAACAAATAATATTTTAGCAGAGATAACCCCAGGAGGCAGCTCAGATGAAAATTCACACACACGAGCTATTAAATCTGTGCACCAAATTCATTTTAAACCAAGAAATATTAGAGCCTACAAGGCTAGCAAATACGTTGGACCTCATCTTCACTAACAACGACGATCTGATATGTGATACAACCATATCAAAGACAATATACTCAGATCACTACATAATGGAGGTAAAGACATGTATGCACAGGGCTCATGACCAGCAAAATGTGATCAGTTATGAGGGTGCCTTCACAAAGTTCAACTTCAATAACAAAAATATACAGTAGGAACAAGTCAACCATGTCCTAAATGAAACAAGCTGAGAAGATATCCTAAACAACATAGATCCGAACCTTTGCCTAGAAAGAATTAACTCTGTGGCACTTGAAGTCTGCTCAAGGCACATTCCATTAAGAAAAAGAAAGAGAAGACGTAAACTAGAAAGATAAACATGCTCCCTATACAGGCGAAGGCAAAGAATCACAGAGCTGCTAAGAGGGACTTATATATCTATAATATGAAGGGAGGCACTGGTCAGAGAAATAGCAAATATCGAAATTAAGCTTAAGGAATCTTACGGGAGACAAGAATCTCAGGAAGAACTAAAAGCCATAAAGATAAATGAACAAAGTCAAAATACTTCTTCTCTTATGCCAAATCTAAGGGTAAAACAACATCTAGTATTTGACCCCTGCTTAGGCGGGATGGGACCTACACTGATGATGTGATGTAGGTCAACTGTGCTTGTGAGGTCAAAGGGGAGACCTAACTGACCAGTGTAAATTATCACACTCCTTGTATTGGCAGGGATGTGTTAGAAGAATAGGTGCCGTTAGTCTTGAGTCTTTTGCTCTTGAAGGCGACAGTAAAGAGTTGTCAGTGACTCTAGAAAAATCTGTCTTTGGTGTGAAAACACGTGGTGTACACCTCATGTGGGAGCGAACCCCTAATCCTGGAGTTTAGGGGGGTGCTTTAAGGACCATGTAAGCTCTGGGAAATAGCTAGAGAGGAGGATTCTGGCAGAGCTCTGTCCTGTGTGCAGAGCTCTGGGTGAGGAGCTGGATTCTCTGGGGGAGACGATGCTCCACTCTAGCTGGGAGCAGAGAGCTCTGGAGAGAGCTGATGCCAGTCCTTATTTTCATTATTCTCTTATTCAACTACATTTTTTATTATTATTAACACAGCCGTTTCCCACCAAGGCAGGGTGACCCAGAAAACAAAAAGCATTTTCATCATCATTCACTCCATTAATGTCTTGCCAGAGGTGCACCTTCACTACAGTTATAAAAATGCAACTTATCAACATCCCTCCTTCAAAGTACAGGTACTGTACTTACCATCTCTAGGACTCAAGTCCGGCCTGCTGGTTTCTCTGAATCCCATCATAGTTGTTACCTTGCTCACTCTCCAACTGCATATTAAGTCCTATAAACCACTTGTTTCCACTCGCTCCTATCAGACATGCTCACACATGCTTGCTGGAAGTCCAAGCACATCGCACACAAAACCTCCTTTACCCCCTCCCTCTCCTTATAGAGAATAAACTTTGAATTTGAATTGAATTGAATTGAACCATTCCTAGGCTTACCCCTACCCCGCTTTCCTTCCACTTTAGATTTATATGCTCTCTAGGTCATTCTATTTCATTTCATCCTCTCTAAATGTTCAAACTGCCTCATCAACAACTCCTCAGATCTCTAATACTTTTAGTAACCCTACACTTTCTTCTAATTCTCTGCATTATATTCACAAAACAAATTGCCCTCAGACATGACATCTCCACTGCCTCCAGCCTTCTCCTTGTTGCAACATTCACCACCTATGCTTCACACCCATATCAGAGCATTGGTATGATTATACTCTCATACAGTACCCTTTTTGTTTCCATGGATAACGTTCCTTGTCTCCACAGACTCCTCAGTGCACCGCTCACCTTTTAACACTCATTAATTCTGATTCACCTCGACTTTCATATACCCATCTACTGATAAGTTCACTCCCAAATATCTAAATGCACTCACTTAATCCATACTCTCTCTCTCCGATTTGATAGCCAGTCTTTCATTATCTAATTTTTTTTGTTAATCTCATCACCTTACTCTTTCCCATGTTCACTTTTGATTTCCCTCTTTTACATACCCTACCAAACTCATCCACTAACCTCTGCAGTGTCTCTTCATAATCTCCGAAAATCACAGTGTCATCAGCAAAGAGCAACTGTGACAACTCCCACTTTGTGTTAGAGTCTTTATCATTTAATCCCACGCCTCTTGTCAACTACCAGAGCATTCACTTACAACCACATTTATAAATATACTAATCAACCACAGTGACATCACACATCCCTGTCTAAGGCCTACTTTTACTGGAAAATAATCTTCCTCTCTCCTACGAACTCTAATCTGAGCCTCACTATCCTCAAAAAATTTTTTACTGTTTTCAGTAGCCTACCTCCTATTCCATACATTTGCAACATCTGCCACATTGTCCCCCTATCTACACTATCATACCTAGAGTATACATGGAGAGGGTTTCGGGGATCAACGCCCCCGCGGCTCGGTCTGAGACCAGGCTTCATGGTGGATCAGGGTCTGATCAACCAGGTTGTTACCACTGGCCACACGCAAACTGACATACGAACCACAGTCCGGCCGGTCAGATACTGACTTTAGGTGCATGTCCAGTGCCTTCTTGAAGACAGCCATGGGTCTATTGGTAATCCCCCTTATGTATGTTGGGAGGCAGTTGAACAGGCTTGGGCCCCGGACATTTATTGTTTTCTCAGTGTACTCGTGGATCCCCTGCTTTTCATTG